GAATATATCGTTAGATTTTTCTTTAAATCGGTAGATCGGTAGCTTACAGACGAAACCGGTAGACCTGGCAACTCTGTGATGAACTGACGGGAGTCAGAATAGCGAGGTGCGGAGGCGCGGGAAGGGAAATAAAATAATGGCGATAAATAAAGGGCAGGGAGATGGGTATCATGAGTGGATGGGAGGTGGCGGAATTTCCAAAATTTGTTATCTTATTGGAGTTTGTCTAAGTAGACAGTCGTAGTGGAAGTGGAAACGGGGAAGTTGTTGTCCATCTCTGTTTAAGCATAGACTTTTTATAGGCGTTTCATTCCAATGCATGTAATTCCTATGCCTAGAGATCCATTGCCGGGCCTGTATAGGATAACAGAAACATTTTCAATGTTAAAATCAATAATTTTATTTATGTTTACAGAGTGTCTTAAAAATGAATGTTTATAATTTAAAGAAATATGTCTATTTTTAAATAGGCGGATCATCTCAGTACTTTTTGTGCCTTGCCTGTAACGTGAAAGTAGAGCCTCACTACAAAAAGTATAATTTTTACTCCTAATGAAACAATATACCTACTATTTTTCGTTAACATTTGCCGTATTTTTAAATGTAAATTTCGTTATTTAAGATGTTTCGTGTTGTTCAGTCGACGTTTCGATTACAATCAAGATTAAAAAAGACATCGACCGAAGTGCCAAAAGAGCAGCAACGGTTCGCGTGTTCTTAGTTTATCAATTCGCTGGAAAGATACTGAGGACGATAGACACGACTGTTTAGAACGTTGGACGCCATTCAGTTGTGAAATCGGGCGCTTCCGTGGAAACTTCTTAACTTGGCAAACATGCCCATTAATTTATTTTCTAATTTATTTAACGATTTCTGTTGTTTTAAGAGGATAATTATTATAAAGTTTAGTACGCTAACTTTCCACATTCCTTTTTTTATCAGGTCTAACTTGTATTATAATTTATTATTCACGCTAATACATCTTTTTAGAGAAGTCTACGGTAGCAAGCAGAGTTTTACGCACCCGTTTTGTTAGTGGAGACATAACTGGGGCTCAAAAATACAAGGTATTTCAAAAAACATGTGCCATCTCTAATGGGACATTTCTCATGTAAAAATAAGATTTACTTTTCATATGAGCATAAGTCCGATCCTGCTTTGTTTCGTAGCTACAGGGTGTTAAAGTCTTTATATGTTTTTGAGTTATTATAATTTTCTTCCAACTACTTTCAGCGTTTCGTATGAAATTTTGATGAACTGTAAATGATGAGCTATGAATGCGACATATTTTAAAGCTAAAGAAGTGTCGACATATTCATTAGGGACGTGTATATGGGTTATCACTGGAATATTTTTCTAAAAAAAGCATGTACGCCACTGACTTTTTCTCCTTGCTAGAAAAATAGTGTAAGCAGTTTAATGCCGATTAAAGTTGTCTCTTGATATTTTGTGGATTTCGATCTCCTTAATGGTGATAAACCCAATTTTTTATTAATTTGTCTTGATCCAAGTCTACTAGCAACCTTTAAAAATGTTTTAATATCATTAACTTGCGAAAGTTTTAAATAAGTACTCATTGATTCCTCGTCAAAAAATATGGAAAAAGTTCCCATAAACATTGATATGGAAATGCACAGTTTTGGAGTTACAGGATGTTAAAACTTTTTAAAATTAGTTTTTTTAATTATCTTAAATACCATTATTTTTTATTTGAAATTGCTGTATGTTGGACTAATAGTAATATAACTAATAGTAATAATATTTAATAATAAATTAGAGGTAAAATATGTAATTTATTAATTTTTTTTTATTTTAATTTCATTAATTGCGATTAATAAAATTGCGTTTATCTCATGAAGGAGGCCGAATTGGACAAAATATCAAGAGATAACTTTTAATTGGCATTAAACGGCCGACACAATTTAAATATCAAAAGAAAAAAGTCAGTGGCGCACATGTTTTTTATATTGAAAAATATTCCAGTGATAACCCATATGCACGTCCCTGATGAATTTATTGACACTTTTTTAGCATTAAAATATATAACACTTATAGTAACTTTTATTCTCAAAATTTCATTCAAATCACTAAAAGTACTTGGAAGAAAATTACAATAAATCGAAAGATTATTCAGACTTTAACACCCTGTAGCTACGAAACAAAGCAGAATCTGACCTATGTTGATATGAAAAGTAAGTCTTATTTTTACGTGAGAAATTTCCCCACGAAAGATGGCACATGTTTTTTACATAGCCCTGTATATGGCCAGTGGCTTATACAGGGTCCGGCAATAGTGCGTCAGGCATCTGTAGCTCCTAAAATAAAAAAAACTTGAGAATTTTGTTTAAGCGTAAACCTAAAGTATGTACAAGGATGTATTTCAGGAAAATATTTTAACTTCTATAGGGTGGCTCAAAAAAGTGTGAGTGAATCGGAATGTTATTTTTTAAATGGAACACTCTGTATATTATTGCATTTTTGGCTTCCTTTCAGATCACTTTACATAATCCTAAGATATGAATAAATATATTTCGATAGTTTCAGAGATATTAATAAATAAATAAAAAAATTATATTTTTCAACCATAATTAAAAAAAAATATTACAAATACAAGAACTGTCCTGAAATCAAAACTATATTAGGTATTTACTTTAGATGGTATATACTTAACTTTGCTATAAATATTGTAATCTTAAATCATACAGGATGTTCAAAATTCTACTCCAAACTTCCTAAAATATAAATTATTTTTTCTTTGTTTTTTTTTAAATGGAACACCCTGTATATTATTTTTTTATTAGATGGAGAATTAAAAAATTAACATTTTTTGTATTTAAAGTATTTTAAAATTTTTAATGGTTTCTCAGATACACGCAGTATTATTTCATATCTCAACGGTAAAATACGAGAGAAAATGTATTGGGTGGGTTTGATAAAAATTTACTATGGAAAATATCATATGAAATATAAAACCGCGAATATCTGCGAAACCGTTAAAAATTTTGAAATACTCCAAATACAAAAAATGTTCATTTTTTAATTCTCCATTTATTGAAAAAATAATATACAGGGTGTTCCATTTAAAAAAACGAAGAATTTTTTTTATATTTTAAAGAGTTTGACGTAAAATTTTGAACATCCTGTATGATATACGATTACCATATTCATAGAAAAGTAAGTACAGACCATCTAAAGTAAACATCTAATATAGTTTTGATTTCAGAACAGTTCTCGTATTTTTAATAATTGTTTTTTAAGAAAGGCCGAAAAATATATATTTTTTTTATTTATTTATTAATATCTCTGAAACTATCGAAACATATTTACTCCTATCTTAGGATTATGTAAAGTGATCTGAAAAGAAGCCAAAAATGCAATAATATACAGGGTGTTCCATTTAAAAAAAAATCATCCCGATCCACTCACACTTTTTTGGGCCACCCCATAGAAGTTAAAATATTTTCCTGATATATATCCTAGAACATACTTTAGATTTGCACTTAAACAAAATTCTTAAGTTTTTTATTCTAGGAGCTACAGATGCCCGACGCACTATTGCCGGACCCTGTATATGTCTATGGTGACTTCAGAAAAATAAGTAAACATGGAAAACTGATATGAAAACAATTACCGACGGTAGATTAAATTGGCTGTAGAAAGTTACACAAGAATATTTAGTTTTAGTCATTGTCTAATATTATTAATTATTACAATATAGTAAAAAAATATAAAACAGTGACTAACTACCATTTACCGGCTTATAATTCACGGTATTGCGCCTCATGAACAAAATATACACAAAATTATTTAAAAAATTGTCTAATTATTTATTATTTCTGGTTATGGTAAAGTAACATTTATAAAAAACTTTATTAGTCTCTAGCAAAGTTTAGTTTACGCATTTGGTTTTATTTTCCTAGGTTTAATTGTCTAAATCCCTGCATAATAAATACTAGTTGCTAATAAAAGTATCGTTTACAGATTTCTATTAAGAACAATAAAGGAACATCTGTGGACCATACTTTTCTTGACATCGGGTCAACCAATAATTTTCTCAATCAGCTCGATATATTGATAATGTTACCAGTATTACTCATCAAGCAATGTTACCCTAATATTAATCAATTAACCGTAAACAAACATATCATATACAATTTTATTATTTATATACATATTTTTATTATTTATATACAATTTTATATACTGATTCATTATAATAAAATTAAATCATAAAAATATGGTAATTATATTCCTGCAGTTTAAGTGAAAAGTTTTGTTTCTAAATATCTACTATACATATATTAATTTTGTGGAATACACATGAATATAACATAAAACGAGATGTAATTAACGAAATATTATTGTAACAACAGCTATTTTCGAAACGTCTAGGTTTACTTATTTCACTGATATTTATGAAAGAAAATTCTTTGTCTCGGATACAGATACCGCCACGTTTTGGAAATAGCTAGAAAAAAAAACAAAGTTCAACGAGGCAACAAAAAACGTCAAAAAAAATTCACCCATGCCCTCCTCACGAGTAGTTTCAGGCACACAGGAAACGAAAGTAGGTCGAGGCAAACCGAAATGGGTCAAGACAAATGGAAATAAATCGAAATGCGTCAAAGTTGGGCGACGAAATGCGACCTTGACCTATTTCGAAGAGTTTTTTGCACATTGTAGAGGCTGTTTAATATTATTTTCAATCAAAAAATTTAAAATGAACTGAAATGCACCAAGCCTATACAAATAAAACAGGAGTTTTTGGTATTTTAAAAACATTATTGACTATTTTTATTCACAATGGTTTAAGACAGTTATTTTGATTTCTACCTAAATAATATCCTAAAAAACATTTAATGATCTAGTTGCGTGAAAAACACTGTACATCTTATCCTTCTCTATATATTCTCTTTATCCCTGTTTTGTTACAGATTGGAAATGGCACGAACGAACAACCCAAAAGGAACATTACGAAACATAGGAGAAAGAGACACACACAGACCGACATATTTTAATCCCTACCTAGATCAATAAGAAAGAAAGAGAGCAACAGCGAAGACCCGAGGGGCTCGAATCAGTAACCATGCTGCCTACGAATGTTATGTCGTTCATGAAAAAGGTAAGCGAAAAGTTTTTTCTTGCCGAGACTTGTTGCCGAGCGAAAAATTCCCTGTAACAAGCGTAAAAAATCCGAGAAAAAATGTCTAAATTCGTTATTCAGTGGGCGTAGTTTAATAAGCAAGCCCAAGAGTTTTTTTTGGGGTGTTTTGATTACGCTTTCTTGTGTAAGGGAACGGGAATTACATTATACAATTTGATTTTGTTGGTTCGGAATGGGATAGCTATAAATAGGATAAAGAATAAATTGCCTTATAAGATTACATAAAAAAGTTTTTATCTGCTATTGTACCGTCCAACGTATAACCCTTGTTTATATATTAATAGTTAGTCAATGTGCCTGTATAAGTCGATGCTGCCAACTGGTGGCAGAAATTAAAACGTAAAAAGGGGGCGGAGACTATTGAATTTGGCAAAGAAGTAGGGACTAGGAATTCTTCGAATTTAATTCTCGGTAAAGAATAAAATATCTTATCTGCTTTGAACCGAATTTTTACCTCAAAGGGTTATTTACATTTTTTATTTTTGGATATGGATTTATATTTATTTTGATTTTCATGGCCCCTTGTTAAATACTAAATTATTATATTAGGTATATATGTATATATTTTATTTCTAGATGGATAATTAAAAAAATATATGAAACTATACCTACCTACCTCTGTAACTTTGTAAAAAGTATGACGGATTTAACATAATGTTTTTTTTTAAATGTAACATCCTATTTTATTTTAGATCCTGCGTAAAATTATTACTTTTTTATGTATAATCCAAAGACATTATAAATATAGACCGAACATCTCATTCATAAATACTCGTTGGTAGTATATCAAACATTCCAATGTGTCAAACAAGGACAGATGAGACAGAGAAGTCTAAAATTTCCGACCCCGGCAACTAGGCGCATTTGGATTGTTCTAATGGCCAGTGGCGTATCGTTTTTTGGAACGAATTTAATTAGTAAAGTAAAAGTAAAGGAATTAGTAAAATGTTTACTCCATATTAATATACTACATTAACACTTTTTCGTCAGATGAGTTTTGTTATAAGGTCTAATATAATAATATAATTAATATCCCACATATACTTATGTTGAAACGTTAGTAGGTAGTTTTCGAAAATCGCTCCAACGTCGATTTTCAATTTAAACTTTCAGTTAATTCTATATAAACTTTCAGTTACTTTTGAATATTTACAGGGTGACTCAGGCTGCCGAAACAGTTCAATATTAGGTTTGCGGTTGGTGACTTTTCTTTCAATTTTTTTTTCAGAATATGGAGGCAATGGTAAAGCACATTTTAGACATTTTTGTAAACATAGGGGGCCGGAACATATTTTCAAACTAAAGTTGTAGATTTGCCATTAAATTTCCATTCCAGAAATACCTATAGTTGCCACCTGTCATTTTTTGAAAAGGACAGTGCTTTTTTGGAATAACTTGTCCTTTTGACTTTTTTTTACTTAAAAAGTCATTTTTATTTACGTATTTTCCCTGAGAAAATTACCTACAGCAAACAGAAATATTAAAATATTATTTTCGTCCAAATTTAATTAGAGATGTTATAAAACTTATAAATACATTTTTCTTGTTTAGAATAGGCAACATTATTTAGAACTTCCCGTTTAATCTCAAATGATAATTTAGGTTTTAGTTTTACCTTTTTTGATCTTAAAAAGAACTTTTTAAAATTAGTAATTAGTAACGATTTAGTTAGTTCGCAATCAGCTTCCTGTAAAGTACTATGTAATAGTTGTTTAATCTTGTATTATTAATAACTTCCTATACCTAAAATCAATATTTAATGAGAAAATTGTGTTTTTTTTGAAAATATAAGACACGATTTGACTTTTGGTCTTCTTCTTGTATTATGATGGCTCTGATACGAGGCAATTACCTTTTAGTCTCTCAATAGAAGGCATATATCATTAAAAGTATCAAATCTGTGTGCTACAGTATGGGATTTCTGTTGCATAATAATGAATATTACGTTTATTTACAAATCCATTACTTTTAAAGGTAGCTTCATCAGACAATCAAATTTTAATTAAATGTCCCAATCTTCATGAACTGTATTAAGCATATGTATTGCGGTTTAAATCACCCCGAGAATCACCTTGTATGTTGACAAAAATATTTTGAAAATGTGCGTTACAATGGCCCCATCTTATGTAAAAATTGAAATAAAATTACAAACCCAAAACGTAATAGGTAAAAAGCTTTTTTGGAGGCCTGGGTCACTCTGTATATAGGTATGTATAAAACTAGTAGCCTAAGAATTATTTACAGTTCGTCTCATTCTAAAAAAAAGATAAACACACCGTACAAATAACTCTAGGAAGAGGTATTTGTACGGTGGTAAAAAATTGTTTAAACGAGGCAGAAGGGGCAGATATAATAATGCAATAAAATGTAAAAAAGGGCGGGTAAACACCTTTGTTTATTTGTTGAGCAAAATTCCTTTAGAATATCGTATATAATGACCAAAATATGAGGCAATTTTAAGAAAAAAAATGTCGCTTTCTGGCTTATAATAAAGTTTCAAATGCAACGTTTATATTCATATTTGTTATGATCTACAACAGTTAAGTAGTAATTGAGACGAATTATAATTCAATTATCGGCTACTACGTTCTCGTTTTAATAGCTCAAAATTTAACAAATATAATTAGAAATTATTTTAATTGTGAGAGGCTCCCTTGTGAGACGCCTATGTACGGCGATTACGGCGCGGCGGAAACAATACCTACCTGTGAAAAGACAAATTCGGGTAATTTGAGCTTATTTTTCCACACATTTGACACTGTCGTACCATATTGAAAATTCGCAGATTCAAAAGTACGTTAAACAAAAGCAAAAACTACTGAAAAACACTGAAAAGTTTACTTCGGATTTGATTCCGACTTCAAACACACCGTAAGCTAAACGTAGTACGCTATAACGGACCAAGGGCCGTCGCGAGGGGTGGTGGGACGGACGGCTCATTTCATTCTGGAAGACTAGCAGCGACGTTGCCAATAGTTCTAGACGTTTCAGCACATTAAACAGTAAACATGTCCTTTAATAGTAACGCATATATCCTCTGGTTAATAACATATTATTCCGCATGCTTCTTTAAAAATAAACTATTAATTTAATTAAGAAATTGAGATTTATTGATATCCGGTGAAGGTTTTAAAGTCACCTTTTCTGCAAATCAAACTAAGTAGTTAGGCGCAAATTTGAGACGTGGCAATGTCGCCTTCTCTATCTCAGTTGGTTTTTACAGTACGTAGTGAACCTCCGATTGTTTGATCGGGTTAAAATGCACAATGTGATATCTGTTCTTCCTAAATCTATGGTATAATCCTTGTATAATGGTGTAACCTAAAACTAGTTTTCCAATATTTCAATTTGTTGATGAAGAAAAAATATTAGATACTATGTAGATATTTAAGGCAGATGCTACAGGGTGTTCAACATATATTAATGGTTAATTCTACGTATTTAAAATTAAAAAAATATCTGCAGACTCTTTCAATGACACAGCCTATACTGAGTGTTTTTTTTAAAGTGGTTCACCTCTATAACTTTTTTATTTTTTCAGATTCCGAGAAAAAAACTAAATTGGGAATGTTAGTAGGTATATGACATAAATCGAGATTGATTCGTATTCAGTTAGTTTCGGTCACTTCCTGTTTCACCGGAAATGTATACATTTGATTTTTAAATGGTACCCTCGGTATTTTTTATACCGTAAGATCGAATAAAAACGGCGTCAGCGATGGCTATGAAATGAACATCGATGACATTTCTCATATAAATTTACATATAAAATGACAGCGCTTTTCATTTCATAGCCATTGCTGACGCCGTTTTTATTCGATCATACGGTACTTTATTTGATAGAAAATGACATTCTGAATAGAATGACAACTTTTGACATCAACAATCATATGTCAACTTTTGACATTTTCAATTAAATCAAAAATAGCATTTTAAAATTCAATCTAGTGTCATGGCTGTGTTAAAACCATTATTTTTTAATCAAGGATTAATCAAGGAGCTTTGGAAAAATTGATTTGGTCGTCTAATATTTTTTGTGTCTTTTCCTGGTCAGTTGAAATATGCCCATTTCGTATTTTAATCATAACTCAATTTTTTTTAATGAAACGAGAGTGGCTCATTAGCATATTTGGAAAAGCATTTTTTGATACCTAATAAATTTTGGTACCTAATTTTGGTAAATAATTTGGTACCACACACTCCGTATGTCGAGTCAAACTGTCGTTATCTTTACGACCGGTTACATGTTGTTTATTATCATGGCACTCTACTAGATTGAACTTTAAAATACTATTTTTTAAGTAAAAGAGTCAAAAGTTGACATTGAATTATTCTATTGAGAATGCCATATTCTGCAAAATAAAGTAAAAAAATACCGACGGTACCATTTAAAAACCAAAAGTTGTAGTCATTTCCGGTGAAACAAGAAATGACCGAAACTAATTGAATACATCAATCAAGCTACTTTTGAAAAACACCCGATATATTATAATTCTTTCTGATAGATTTTACAAAATCCTTCAACTTCTATTAAGAATGTCATATAACTAAATAAATCACTTTACTTAATGTTTAATAATAAATAATTTTTGTTTTGTCATATGGCAACTTGTTATAATGTAAATGAATTAAAAGAAGGATAAAATTCAGAACAGATTGCAAGCTGTTGAGTATAGGTGTACTTAATATACTTTCTTAACAAATGTTGAAAGGTTTTGTAAAATCACTAGAAAAAATAATAATATATATATCGGATCAGCCAAAAAAAATGTTTGAACACAGTGTAGCATCTAACTGCAAGTATTTTTACATATAAATATATTTTTTTTTCATCTCTGTAAAACACTCCTACCAAATTTGTGTAGTCCAACTTCGGAAACAACTGACAGTTAAGTAACATAGGAATAAAATTTTACTTTTTTTTTAAATTGTAAATACTTACTAACGTTATTTATAAA